GCCTGACACAAGCTATGCCTGACAAGCTATGCCTGACAAGCTATGCCTGACAAGCTATGCCTGACACAAGCTATGTCTGACAAGCTGTGCCTGATTTTTGTAGCGGCCAACCAGTGGGACGGTCTGTCACCAAAAAAAAGTAGTTTTGTTGAGATAGCAACATGTATTACTTTCTTATCACAAAGAGGACAAACAACTGTCATTTTTAACTGAACGTGTAGTAGACCACTTATAGAAGTAGCGCTGTCACGCTGCGCGTCCCCCTCAAGGCCTCCTTACCTCTCGTATCTATAAGAGTTTAAGGGGGAACCTAGAAGTAGATTTCTGACTTTGAACTTAGAAACAGGCTCCATAAACAGTTGAAATATTCTACTGCCTGCGCCGATTTTTAAATAGATCTAACTTTTACCAGTTATGCAGATCTAAATCAACCTGTTTTAATTGTTTTATAAGTAAGTGATGATTCACAGTGTGGCTGGTATCATGTCGTCATATTTCATATTGAGGGTTTCTCGTGGTCGAGAGGTTATGGTGTTCGCCTCTCATTCAATGTGCCCCGGGTTCGAATCCGGGTAGGGACGGGAACGTTTTCTTTTTTCTTTTCTAAAAAATTCTCCTTTGACCTCCTTTCCTGCTCTCTAACTATGTTCTGTCGTCTGCTTTCGTCTCCACTTTCTGTCCCCACCTTTCATCCCCTTTGCCCCCTCCTCTGGGCTCCTGACTCTTGACGCAGCCTTTTTACTACTGTTACTCCTTGGCGCCTTCTAACTGCTGTCTTTCAGCCACACCCCTGATATTATGGTAGGTTAAGATCTACAACTAGACTTCGCGGATAAGGGCGATAAATTCTCAGAGGTCCCGGGCGCAAGTTTTGCACGTTAAAGATCCCTTGGTTGCCCAAAATCGATAAGAGTAGGCTTCGGCCGCCACTCGAGCAAAGTTTAAAATTTCCTTCCAACTGAAAATATTTAATGAGTCCCGCGCGCTCATATGGTCTTATACAGTTGCGAGCGCCGTAAAACACTTACCCTCCCCCCCCCCCCCCCAAAAAAAAAAAAAAAGAAAAAAAAGTAATAACAAAAATATAAAAAATTAATAATCTATTGAGTCAAAAAATGTGATGACTTCCTCAGAATGGCAAGTATCGTGTCGTCATACTTCATATTCTCAAAAATCAAGATGAAGTTTTTTCCCCCCTTCGCCAAATCTCTTTCAATATATTAATATGGCTCCCTGCTTCCGCGCCATTTTATGATTTTGGAAATCTCCTATCATCACACATTCGGGATACTTCAGCTGATCGTGAGCGCACATGCCGTGAGGTCAGCGTGACCCCGGGGTCAGAGTCCGGGCAACACGCTGCTAAATCTAGTGGGACGTGCTGCGGTGAGTTTTTTGTTGGGTTGGAGGGGGGGGGGGGTTCTTTTTTTTTCTAGGGGAGGGGGTTGCTTTTGCGTTCTCGACCCTGGAAGTGATAAAACACTAACTGACTAACTGTGAAGTTTGTAGAAGCACGGCTACATCACCAATTGCCTGAAAAGAGCAAGAATGGCGCTTTTTTTTTTCTCCCCGAAGCCTGGGTTAGTGTAGCAGAGTTTCTCATCTGAATATTTCTAAACGAGACTACCGGACTCGTAATCGTGAGGTTGCGGCTTCGGGGGTTCGAGCCTCAGCTCGGTCGGACGTTGTGTCCTGGGAAAAGGCACTTTACACGAAATTTCCTCACTTCACCCAGGTGGGAATGCGGGTACCCAGCCATAGACAGCGAAAGATGTTGTCAGTATGTTAGCGTTGTAGCGCCTATTAGTGGCTACTACTACTACTACTACTACTACTACTACTACTACTACTACTACTACTACTAATAATAATAATAATAATAATAACAACAATAAGGACAATATGTACAATATCATTATTAATAATAATGATAATAATGATAAATAATAATAAAAAATTGCATTTATAAAATATAGCGCTCTATCCCATACTAGTATAAACTCTGAGCGCTTTACATCAGTCACATGATCATCCACAGAATATTTCACAGAAACAAGAATAACCAGTTCAACTTAACTAAGATCTGCATGTGTTAAAGATGCTGCAAAACTCTCATTCAATATCTATAATGTGTTTTTCACACTTGGTTTTTTTTAATCATTTTTTTTTCGTCTGATCGTGGCTTTGTTATAACCACAGCTATGTTCATTGTCAAGGACGCGAAGTCTCCGAATAAGGGAAACAACTCGGGACAAAAAAATTTTCATAAAAAATTTATTGAGTTATTAAAACTGGACTTTATCAATAAGAATTTCCAACAAACATGATCTGGAACAGTTGCATAATATAATTTAGTAGTCTTGTTTTAGTAGTAGTAGTTGGCCTAGTAGTAGTAGTAGTACAATGTAGTAGCAGCAACAGCAGCAGCAGCAGCAGCAGCAACAACAGCAGCAGCAGCAGCAGCAGCAGCAGCAGCAGCAGCAGCAGAAGTAGTAGTAGTAGTAGTAGTAGTAGTAGTAGTAGTAGTAGTAGCAGCAGCAGCAGCAGTTATAGTAGTAGTAGCAGCAGCAGCAGCAGCCGCGGTAGTAATAGAAGTAGTAGTGGTAGTAGTAGTAGTAGTAGTAGTAGTAGTAGTAGTAGTAGTAGTAGCAGTAGCAACAGCAGCAGCAGCAGCAGCAGCAGCAGTAGTAGTAGTAGTAGTAGCAGCAGCAGCAGCAGCAGCAGTAGTAGTAGTAGTAGTAGTAGTAGTAGTAGTAGTAGTAGTAGTAGTAGTAGTAGTAGTAGTAGTAGTAGTAGTAGTAGCAGTTATAGTAATAGTAGCAGCAGCAGCAGCAGCAGCAGCAGCAGCAGCAGCAGCAGCAGCAGCAGCCGCGGTAGTAGTAGTAGTAGTAGTAGTAGTAGTAGTAGTAGTAGTAGTAGTAGTAGTAGTAGTAGTAGTAGTAGTAGTAGTAGTAGTAGTAGTAGTAGTAGTAGTAGTAGTAGTAGTTAGTAGTAGTAGTAGTAGTCATGGTCTCTGGTTGATACCGCGCCTGGTTACTTTTAGATCGCCTTCAGAGGGCAATGATTAATATTATTACGGTCTCTGTTCAGAGGGTAGCCTACGCTCGCAAATTGTGCACTGATGCCAAGGACCGCGAGGCCTCGTTTCCGCGCTCTATAAATACTCTCTGATATGGTACCGACTTCATAATCATTGGTACCGACCAGACAATCATTGGTACCGATGGGCCTTCAAACTCCGTTGATTACACTCTCCCTCTCTTTTTCTCCTTTCTCTGTTTGGGGCAATAAAAGTTGCACACCGCATAGAGTATGTTGTAGAGCTTGGATGCGCTATAAAAATAATGCAATTACAGTGTAATATACTGTATACATACATGTAGTAGGCCAATTCTCTCTCTCTCTCTCTCTCTCTCTCTCTCTCTCTCTCTCTCTCTCTCTCTCTCTCTCTCTCTCTCTCTCTCTCTCTCTCTCTCTCTCTGGGCTCTGTCTGTCTCACAACTGTCTCATTGATGAGGTCGTGTCGACAAAATTAAATAATTAATTCATCGAGTTTGATCGAGTCCGAACAGTTCTAGAGGAGTCTCGTGTTCGAGCACACGGACTGCTAGGGGATAATCTCTAATCCTTCTTTTTTTCTGGTGTCTGGAAATCAAAGAAGTTTTGCTTTGATTTGAATGTGCATGATGTCTTTTTGCCTTCATTTTCGTAGATAGTAATTAGAAACCTAAATTTTGTGTCTATTATCCAGATTTCAGATGTTTAATCATTATAATACAATCATTCGGCGTTTTTTCGTCGAGAATACGTAGATCACATGATCAAGGCAAAGGAAAACATGGTGAATGGCCATCCCATGCACAGTGACAAGAGCACACTTGACTCGGATCAACTTCGTTTTTGATACAAACGTTTCTCTTCCTTGCTAGGGATATTGGAATTTTATTGACTAATACTGGTGAGATTGTAGTGTTGATTAAGAATCTCTTCGTTTGCCATTTTGAATGGAGGAAGTGAACAAAACAAAATTATTAAACGAACATCATGCAGTAATTGTAGTATTGTTATTGACATTGTAGTTGTAGTTGTAGTGCAGAGAATGAGAATCTAAACTTAACTTAAACGCTTATAATCATCTCTAGGGGGTGCCCACATACGCGGTCGGGTCATGCCTATCGGGTAGTCAGGGCTATCCAAATTGAGGGCTCAAAACGACCATCGTGGCACAAACACATGCTCTATTAAACGGAGAAAGTTTCTAGGAAGTGGCTATTCTCATCTGGGGTGAGAATAGAAAAACGATCTACCTCTCACCCCGGGTGAGACTTGCCAGCGTAGGCTATTCTCACCCGGTGCGAAACAAGACCTGCTTTTCCTCATTTTGGAATACTGTCTATCGGTGTGGATAATCAAATTGATAAAATCCAAGAAAAAATTATGTTATAGCACAAAAGTAAGCTAATTACTAATTTGATCGTCTTCAAAGATGCTATGGCTATTTCACTGTTCGAATCGAGCCGAACTACGCGGGTCGCCATTTTGTTTTGCCCGCAAGTTCTCGCAAGATCTACTCCTCCCCTCTCTCTCTCTCTCTCTCTCTCTCTGTCTCTTTCTGAATCGGTGTGGACGATCAAATTGACCAAAACAACGTTAAAAAGTGATGTTAAAACACTTAATAGTAAATTAATTTGGTTGTCTGCAAAGATGCTACAGCTATTTAACTTTTCGAACCGAGCCGAACTACGCGGGTCGCCATTTTGTTTTGACCGGAAGTTCTCGCGCTACTCCTCTCTCTCTCTCTTTCTCTCTCTCTCTTTCTCTCTCTCTCTCCACTGCCCACAGACAAAATTGTACGCTTTTAGTAGGCTACAGTTGTAATGGAACGTTTGTTCATGGCACAGAATTCTACAATTTTTCTGTAAATCACTGTAGAATTATGTGGTTTAGGGTGAACGCAAAATTTGTTGGCCTAGATCTAGATCTAGATCTAGGCTATAACGGTGAACGCGCACCGGGTGAGAATAGCCAAAAGACTCGCCTGCACTATTCTCATCCCGGGTGAGAATAGAGGTGGCCAAGTTTCTAACGCAAACTATTTTAGTTTTAGGACGTGGCTATTCAGATTCTCACCCGGGGTGAGAATAAGAAATACAATCTACCTTTCATCCCGGGTGAGACTTGCCAGCGTAGGCTATTCTCACCCGGTGTGAAACAAGACCTGTTTTTCCTCAATTTGGAAAACTGTCTATCGGTGTGGATGATCAAATTGTTTAAGCCAAGAAAAAATTACGTTATAATTATAGCACAAAAGTAAGCTAATTTGATCATCTTCAAAGTCAAAGATGCTATGGCTATTTCACTTTACTTTTCTGAATACACTGTCTATCGGTGTGGACGATCAAATTGACCAAAACAAAGTTAAAAAATGATGTTAATAAACAAGAAAACTAAATTAATTTGGTTGTCTACAAAGATGCTACAGCTATTTAACTTTCCGAATCGAGCCGATCTACGCGGGTCGCCATTTTGTTTTGTCCTGAAGTTCTCGCGCTACTCCTCTCTCTCTCTTTCTCTCTCTCCACTGCCCACAGACAAAATTGAACGCTTTTAGGCTAACACTAACAGTAGTAATAGATCTAGAACGTTTGTTCCCAGCACAAAATTCTTTAGATTCTCTAATTCTGTTATCACAGTGTAGAATTCTGTGGTTCAGGGTGAACGCTTTGATGACTGGTTAGCCTAGGCTATGACGGTGAACGCCCACCTGGTGAGAATAGCCAAAAGACTCGTCTGCGGGGTGAGAATAGAGGTGGCCCTATTTTACTCACACTCATAGCGGGTTTGGAGCGTTAGGCCTGGAGGAAGAAGAAAATGAAGTAGGTGAGAGGGAAGGACTTCCGTAGCGAGCGACCACCCTATCAAACACAATAAGATAGGCCTAACCGAAACCCTAACCCTAACACTACCCCTACCCCTAGATCTACCCCTACCCCTAGCCCTCAATTCTGCTCTGTCTCGTAGTGGTCACTCGTTACGGAAGTCCTCCCGGTGAGAGAGATATAAGTTGAGAGATGTATGCCATAGACCTAGATCTAAATCTAGAAGCAATGTTTACAACATTGCTAGATCTAGGTCTCTCATATAATGGTAAGGGAGGAATTTATAAACAAAAAAGGAGAGAGACACTTTTAAGCCAAAGCAAGCAAGCACTCACACACACACACACACGTGACACACACACGACAGTCAGGCACACACACACACACACACACACACACACACACACACACACACACACACACACACACACACACACACACACCCATCCCCACAGAGGGAGACAGAGAGAGGGAGTGCGGGAAGTCTAAGAGTACCGTACCGTAGGCCTAGACTAGATCTACTTTTATATGTATTATTCATGTGTCAAAGGTTCAGCCAATTGTACCCTGTTTACACGCCCTCTGTGTAGTCGCATGAAGGTTAAAGTAAAGGTTTCTCTGCTTTAACTTCCTGGTCGTCGGGTACAATCGTGGCGGGGTTGTAGTGTGCACTGAAACCACAAAGCAACCCGACCTGACCCGATCGCATATGTATACATGTGGGCACCCTCTATTACTTTAACACTTTCGGAGTGTCTGCGTCAACGGTAACCGGGCGGATAGCCTCAGGGTCTACGTACACGGTAACCGGGCACATAGTCTCAGTATCTACGTACACGGTAACCGGAAGGTCCCAGAGATAGTTCACTCAGCCAAAAAGAGTGTCACTTTTATTGTTTTTCACACAAGTAGGGTAACTGTTCGCAAAGTTGGTGCTTTTTCGAAGAGGGCGCACTAGGGTCAACGCTCTATAGTCCAGCATGATACCCACTGAATTTCATAACAGAGCGTCCAGTAAACCTTTACTTTCGCTTTCGTTACCACCCAGAAATTTGTCAGAAATTGTCTGATAACGCAACAATTATTGTAACATGCAGGTTCGGCATTACAAACGTGGTGTCGCCATGAAAATAAATAAATATTTGTCACTGTGTCGTCATTTAAATAGTTATGGGGGCAACATAAAGAAAAGAAAGAAACAAGCATCTTGTCGGGCTTGCCATTGTGACCGGTCAATGAACCTGCGCGCGTTCTGAGCCCTTCGAAGTAGATCTCTATAAGAATTGGGAGAGAAAGTTATAAGCGTCTTGTCGGGCTCGATATCGTGACCTGTCAGTGAACCTGTACCTTCGCATCACATTGTGAATACCAGTGATCGTTGGGGTCACCAAAGTTCATTCAAAGTGCGCTGCGCAAAGTATGGGGCTCCGGAATGGGGGATTATTGATTTTTTAAATAGGTTACAGTCAGGGGGAGGGGTGGAGTTTAAGGCAACACCGGATGACAAAAACTGAACTTGGAAGCAAAGTTTAGTGTATTTTTAGAATTTTGATTATTACTAGAGCTTCCTGCTACGGAAAAGCGTGCGTTGATGCAAGCCCTGTACGGAGTTGGGATCCGCCATACTCATACCTAGTAAGCTGTGCTTTTTAACCAAAAGGTTCACGTTTCATTGGGTGGTTGATAGTACGTTTGTTTCATTGTCCTTTGTTTTAAGAGAGGTATGACCTCATCAAGTGCATACTTTTTTATTCTCTCTCTCTCTCTCTCTCTCTCTCTCTCTCTCTCTCTCTCTCTCTCTCTTCCCCTCTTTCTCTCCCTCTCTCTGTTTTCTGAGTTTCGTTCTCTCTCTCTCTCGTGATAGTAATGTTTTGTAAACTTCTATATTTTAAGCTTTCTGTTCCAGTTTCACAGATTTTCAGTGTCTTTCCATTTTGCTCTTCCTTTGGAAAGATGACAGGGGGGTAGATTGGGATCATTTTTGGAATTGCATTCCGCTCACAACGAGTGAAAAAGGTCAAGGTTATGAAGGGAGCAAAGCAGTTACCGTGCTCCTAGCTCAAGCCCCCCACGAAACTAAATACCCGGTTACAGTGTTCGTAGATAATGAGAGGCGCCCGGTTGCCGGTTACCGTGTATGTAGATATTGAGGCTACGCGCCCGGTTACCGGGTTTTGACATTGAGACTACACGCCCGATTGCCGGTTACCGTGTACCTAGACACTGTGGCCAGCGTACGTGCCCAGTTACCGTGTGCGTAGACCCTGAGGCAAAATCCCTCACCGCCAAAATAACCGTAACATGGTAACTTGTAACTCGCTGCAGAAATTATTTCTCCATCCAAAAGCTCTGAGTTGCCAAGTTTCTTTCTAATGCTCCAATAAATTACCGAGATGTTGCCGGTTTTCTTACAGAATCTGCTGTTACACGGCCCACTTTGTTTGTCACTTTTTACTACCCCATAACGTTTTAAATTTATGAACCAATTCTTTTAGAATAGAAAGCCCTTTCTTAGATACCAAATGAAAAATGGCTAAAAAGTGAAAAATCAAATTTTTGTTTGCATTACTAATTTATATATATATATCACTCTCCTGTTTCCATAGGTTTTTGAGAGAAGTGTAGTGTGCGTTATAGTAAGTCATAAAAAGTCTGAAATAAAGTAAGAGTGCAATATAGTCAAGGGTATTCTTTTACTTTCTTTTCCGTCTCACACTTACACCTATGACCAGTTGTCCATTTTAATATTATTGATGCGTTGAACTCGAATATCAACTTCATTTCTGCTGCAAATTTTATTTATAGTTTTTGGAATATTTGATGATTTTTAATTGAGATATATATCACATTCAGCCTTATTTATATATAGAACTGAGTAGTAATTTGCACGCTTTTGATGACCAATCAGGGGGTTTCAGGGTATGAAAAAATATCAGGGGGGATATTCAATTAGGCATTAGGTTTCAGGGTATGAAAAAACAAAGATGAAACAATAATGGCATGATTTCTCAACCTGTAACTATTGCAATTATTGTCCTGTGTTCAGTGTAATAAAATTATTAGGCCTAATTCCACGTTCTTCTTTTTTTTTTTTCTTTTTTTTTTTTAAACAGTAACCCCATGGCAGACGAAACTGAAAATTCACACGAAAATTTGTAGAACTTTTCGTTACGTAAGTAATAATTGTAGATCTATCACACAATAGCTATGATCCTCAACTAGCCCCC